TTCGTATTCATATATGGAATACGCGTAATTATTTTGCAAATTTTTTTATTTTATAAATTTTATATTGTATAGTAAAATAATATAAATTTTACTATGTATTGTACAAATATATATATATATATATATATATATATATATATATATATATATATAAATAACTATAATAATATCTAACGTTGCATTTCTTTAATACGATTGCGAATTGACCCGAGTGAAATTTTTTGGACACATTTTTCTTTGCGCAGCAGAACACATTAGGGTCACGTTTATTTTACGGATATCGAGATGAAAAACGAGTCGCTGGAAAGTGTTTATTTCGTTTTTCATCGCGAAAACCTATTGCGCGCCAGGGCGCGGAGGGTGGCGTTGCTTCTGGGGATGCTTCTGGCGAGCGTCCAACTCTGCCGTGAAACCGGTCCTAATTAGATGGGGTTTTATGCAAAACCCTCGCTTCCTCATACAAGTTCGAGAAAAGCGTTTATTGCTAGCGTGTCACTAGAGTGTCACAGAAAGTGTCGTTCGTCGGAAACGACCTGCACGAGGGGATCGCTCCTGTGTACGCTCTGTCTAACATGCTGCAGTTAGCCCTAACTATATTCTCCTTTTTTCGAGGTATCTAGTGAATATCGAGTGAGTTCATGTTTGTATCCCTTCTCCCCCTTATCCCCTTCGAATTCGTCTTGCGCCGATAAAAATATGGAACAAGCCATTTCATTCGCGATGCCAACATTTTTCTGCGCAGGATATTGCAGAGGGTCTGACCTCGTTTCTTACGTCGGATTCTTTGATGAATTTAGAATTGTTCTTTTCTCGGGGAGAATTCTGGGAAGGGTCACCATTTGCGTTGTAATCTCTTCATATTTACATTTCTTCGTGTTGCTAAGCCAGAGAGGTTAAAAAATTCTGCATTTTATTTTGTATCTCATTTGCAGCTTAATGGAGATTTTTCTCAAAACTTTTACGTTCTCTCCGATCTGTTGGAATCTGTTAGTTTCGCTTGCAGATTCCGCTCGTTGTTTTCTTGAAAAAGTGCAACCGGCAATTTAAATATTGTAGAATATATCCATTGCGGATGTATCTTTTTTCATGACGCATCGCAGTCATCCATTTCTTCAACGCGGGGAGATTCGATCTCAATGAGAAAAAAAAATGTTTTACGAAGGGAAGATTAAACTGACGATATATATTTGGATATATATTGCTGCTCGATATATATTTGGATATATATTGAGGCAAACCTGCAGTTGATATCAAAGTAACGCGTTCTTTTTTTACTATCGTGCATTGCAATAAGATGTAACATTTCTCCTATGAGAGCTATAGAGAAGCGGGCATTTCCGAGACGAGAGATGCAGACTTGAAAAATTATTATTGAAAGTACATACCAGAGAAGCTTTTCCGTCGTCTGTTCACCTCCGTTGGAATATATACCGATCGATAAATCACCGCGCTTTCTAGTTTCGACGATCGGCGAGCAGTCTTTAATTCTACATATGGGGTATCGAGATTTACCTTGGATTATCTTCAATCGGATATTTTCTTTATCGGAACAAATTTTGATATCTCGGTCGACGATATCTTTAATTCTACATATAGTATATCGAGATTTATCTCGGATTTATCGCCTATATGTGATATTTTCTTATCCGAATAGATTTTGCTACCTTGATCGTGGACATGTATCTTTGAATGCTTTGAACGCTTTAATTAAAGTTCAAGGATTGCAATAGATCGCTTTTAAGTGAGAGTAAGAACAATCGTAGAAAGACAAACATAAAGATCTTTTCTTCCATTATTTATACGCTGTCGTTTTCTGTGTACTCTCTCAATATCATCTCTATCTATTGAAATATCTATATATAAAGTATTGTATATAATTGAGTTTGTCTAGAATTTTTTTTCAGGTGTGCATTCTTTTAATAACGAGCTCCTTAGTTTTTCACTTTGGAATAAAATCTCGAAATAAAAATACAAATATCCTAAAAAAAAAAAAGAACTTATCACGAGAATTTCGCTCTATGTGGAACTCAATCTGGAAAATTTAGAGCGTTACAAATTTATAAGTAGAATTCCTTCTAGCCGAAGGAATCGCGCGCCACTCTTGGCTCGTCTCACTTTTACGTGTGAATACTTTATAGGGCATAAAAAGTAGCAACCGTAGCAACCGCGATTTCCTACAAATTGTTAGAGTTCCGCGAAGGCAGGATGATGGGCGATCGGACCGGCGCGGCGGGTCGAGAGGGGGGGCTTCTGAAGAAAAAGGGCAGATTAGAAAGGACGGGAAAGCCTCGGACTCGGCGGAGGGAAAGTCGCGGCTCGAGTGACGCGACACGGGTGGGAAACGCGAAGGAGAAGAAGGGTGCTGCTGGAAGTAGGCTGACGGCGCGGTCAGTGAGGGGGTGGTGGTGTGGAAGGGTCGCACGCTGCGGCGCCGCACGAGAGGGCGGATGTCAGTCCGCGTTCGAGCGGTCGCCGGTATAGGCGTGCAAACGGCTCGGTCGATCGGACCGCGTTTCTTCGCTATCCTTCGCGACAAAAAAACTTCGTGAGAAATCGTGACGTCTAAGACGTGCGATCGAAGTAGGTGATCGAAGGAAGAAAAGTGCGTGCGTGCGTGCGTACGTGCGTGCATGCGTGCGTGCGGGCGTGCGGGCGTGTGGAACGACACGTAGAGTTATTGCTCAAGCAATGAAATGGCCATTGATACGGTGCTTGCAACGTATCGCTAAAGACTCGAATATATCGAAAAGGCTTCCCGGCTAATCAATATTTATTATATCGATCTGAAATTTACTCAGCGACGATATTTTAATAGCGACGATATAAAAGCGCACGTTTCTCGAGAGAAAAACTAATATCACTTTGATATGATTTTATCAGGTTTGTACGTAGGTTTGAACGTGGCAGATCCTGCAAAGAGATTTATTAGTGAAATTATCGTACGTCAATGCACGATAGATTTACGACATGCTGTCAGTACTTATTACGCGAAGCATAAATATATTAATTTCTCGGGTATACATCATTTTTTCTATTGGCGATTCTTTGGTGTCAGATGTTCAGTAATTTTATTCATGTTGAAATATAGTTAATAACTATTGATTATTTGAAGGTTTTTTAAGGGGTGAGTTTGTGATGATTAACCAAGCGTGTGTTCGTCTATCATTAGATGCAAATGGAATATGTCTAGGTAAGAAAGTCTAGAAACGTACATCGCTTATTGATTCTATCTGAGATTAATTTCGGTTCTATGAAAGAATTGAAGAAATTTTTTTTGTGTGTTTTACAAGTTCAGGCGTTTATTTATATAGACAAATATATGAAATTTCATGAAAAAGAGTTTCAAATATCTCTAACTCATAAACTGGCCATTTTCAGATTTTATGCCCATTGATATTTTTGATCAGAGACACAAGAACTACAATATATTACTACATTTAAGTAAATTAATCAAAAACGATTTTTCATGAGAATTGTGCGGAATCCTTTAATTGTTAATTTTTTTTAGTTTTATACAAAGCATTATTTCATTTTCTTTTTAAATCTATCCAATTAATGATACTACTGTATTATCATTTCTCCGTCCGACTATATCTGGGCTCATTCTACTGCGAGTTTTTGATGATGGACGATGGTACATTTATCCGGGATGGTACATTTATTGCAAATAATTGTTACTCGAATGCAGTAATATTTATCGGATTATGTTTTATTTTAATCTCTAAGAAATTTGTTGTATCAAACTTCTAAGTTTACAGTACTAAAATTTAAAGGATTATTATTGGACTACATTAATGATTATCAAATTCATAAATATTCTAAAATGACAAACGATTGCACTTTAATTAATCAAGTATGTTTGACAAAATTAAATATCTTTATAATTTTTATTTATTTTTTATTTAACTAATTAATCGTGCAATTTGTAGTATAAAAGAAATTATATTATGCTTTTTGTTATAGAAATTTGTATAGAATAGAGAGAAAATATATATTTTCTATTTTAAATTTTGTGAAGAAAAGCAATTATTCTCTCGGCATTTTCCGCATAATATGATTTGCGATTTTAATTTTTTAAAACTTTGATTGCAAAATTCGCGTCTGCATTAGGAGGCAGGAAAATGCGAGATATTTTTTTAATTTTTTCGACATCAGAGAAAATGAAACTATGACAAATTCATTACAGCACTTTTTTAAGGTTTCTGGTGTTTAGGAAAACGCTCGTATGCATTTAATATATTAGAAGAGAAGTATTTTTGTTACTTGTGACTTTCAATTTTATGTTCTTATTATCATCAAAGATATAAAAAGGTTTACTCGACTGTACTACTGTAAAAAAAGAAATATAAAATATGAAGAAATATAAATATAAAATATGAATATAAAATATGAATTAAAAACATGATAAAATTTTTCTTTTTTAATAAAGATGGCATGTATGAGTAATATTTTGAAAAAGTTTTAAAAAAACTAACACACACACACACACACACACACACACACACACACACACACACACAGCATTTATTTCGGTAGTTTGTCAATTTATTTCGAACACTTTATAAAGATTGGATACTCCTAAAATCGAGTTAACTCCAGTAATATTTATTTGAGTTAATTTTATTTGAGTTTGATCGATCGATAATTTTTCAATATTTTTCTTTCTAAATACTTTTGGATATTTGATTTATCCGAATCATATTTTCACTTATCCGAGTAGATATAGTTATTCAAATTTCATCCATTTATTCTGATTAATTTATTTGTACATTATTGTATTTTGAAGCTATCATTGTTTAGTTTATTGTATCATCTTATATATCATAACCATATTAAAAAAAAAAGAGTTATTTCTATAAAAACGGGCTCATTTAATGAGCAAAAGCTTATTTTCTCATATTTCACACATTTGATGAATAGTAAAGATGCTCGTCTGTACTACATAGAGTGTGTCTCTTCTTACACTTGATATAAACAAGATGATAAAAATGATCGATGCATTTTTTTTGTTATAAAAGGAAATTTTTTTATCGAACTTTTCCCAGCAAGGTAGTCGACAGATAAACTTTTATCCTCGTATTTTTCGAGCAGAATTTGCCGAATTTGTTATATGTTCGTATGCGTGAAGGAAATATGCATGAAAGCTATGATGCTTGAGAAAGAGGAACTGCATTCTTTTTAGAATTATTTTTCGAATTTTGACGAATAGACGGGAACCACCAAATTGACTTTTTTGTGAAAATAGGACGAATAAAACTTTTTACTGTGACTCGCTGTCAGAAAGTAAAAAGGGCGAACATGCAGATTTTTCTTCAAGATTTCTTCAAGATTTTGCTTTTATAGAGTTTTTATAGGGAATTAGCTTTATCTTCGGGAAAAATTTCTCGAGAATTCGCTTCATCAATATTGTTTCTCACGCGTTTATGGTGTTTAGAGAAAAATATATTTTCTATTATCTTTGCGCAGGAAATAAAGTTTTAAGAGTACATTGTTATAAGTTTCTGAGTGTATTGCGAGTTTAAAAAGTGATTGTGCGTGTAAATGAATAAACAGTCGGTTATTGATACTGTTATATCGCTATGTGAATTATATTATATTTTAATTTGCGTAGATATAATAAAAATATATAATGTAGTTTAAAAATAAAAATAATTCTATGATGGTTTCTACGTTGTGTGCAAAACTGGACCTTTAAATTATAAATTTTATAAAACTACATTTTTTTTCTATAGATAACTTGCAGAGAAAAAAATATTAGTTTTTTACTCAAAAACTATTAAGATATTCAAGTAAAAATATTCAAGAGAGAAGTAAGATTCAAGATTCTTTTTTATACGATAAAAAAGTTTTTATCACTCCAATCACAGCTTGAATTTACGATACGAATAATTTGTAGAACGCGAGAATCGAAACTTTTTATTTCATATTGCATACAATTCTCAATTCTCCTATTTGAGATCATACTAGAAATTTATACACAAATATTTTACGTTTGCTTAGCAAGTCTCATCATATAATGAACATTTAATGTTAATATAACGTATGATAGGAAGAGGAGACATAAATATTTCGATACCTTAAATTGCAAGTACAATTGAAACTAGCAACGTAATAATTATTCATCGTAAGCGTTATTGTATTTTACAAAATATATAATATATAATAACATAAATATATAATAACATGCTTGCTAAATAAAAAGCAATTACAAATTACAAATGTTCAAATAAATCATACATTTTTTACTCTAAAATGATTCCGTGATTACTTTTACAGTAACAAAGATTACATTAATAAAAATATCTATATAAGAAGCTAAGGGAACATTTTTTATGAAAATCGATACAGGATGCAGGTGAAACACTCAGAAAAAAAAAAAATTTCACAAATTTCAGTTTGTGAAGTAACCTTTAACCTTTAACAAAGCTGGGAAAACGAATCGGTTGATTTTTATCTTACTCCTTGCGATGACGATGATCGAGATTTATATAGATCAGACGATCAGTCGTTCTTGTTGGTGAAGTACGTATCTATGGCAAATACCAGAGCCGCCAAGATCGCGAAAGAACCGGCTGCGATTGTTTGGTCGCTGTACTCCTGCAGATACGCGTGAATCAGGTTACTCGAGACACTGTCCCAATCGCGAATCAAAATGAGGCCGGCGGTACAACATAGAATCGCTCCCATCGTCGTGAAAATGAGAGCCTGTAAAAGAGAAAAAAATGAAAATAAAAATCTTTTCGCGATAATATAATATTGCATTGTTATATGGCGAAGCTCGTTAAATTAGACGGACGCATGATGAAACTGTGAACAAAAATATGGAATTTTTTATGGAATTTATGCTTTTTCGGAAAGAAAATATTAAAATTACACGTCCTTTTACATTCGATTTTTCATACGTTATCATAGTGTTTGAAATTTACGACGATAGAGTTTCCAAATGGCACTATGCTGTCCTGAATAGAATTTGAATAATTGAATAATAGAGAGAGCGAAAGGTTTGTGCCAGAAATTGAAGCGGTGACAATCGGATTTTGTCTGTATTTTGGAATTCTGCTGAGTCGACAAGCATTAACAGATCATCCTTTTGAATCTAGATTATGACACATATTTTTGCTTAATCTTGCATATGCTTAATCTATGCTAATCTATCTGTTTCACTATTATTAGTATTATTAGTATTTATTAATATTTCGTATTTCAACTTACCGTTTTTTTCGGCAATCTTTCGCCCAGACAATGACTCAGAATAAGAATCGCATTTATAAGAATATAACCGCACACTGCCACATGAAATATCGCTATGTGATGTATATCTGTTGGCCGTATTTGATTCTGTTGGAACGGTCCTGCCACTAATCCCGCCGCAATGACGCAGAGAACCTATAACGTTCCAATTATTATCTCTATTAAAAAAATAAGAGTCTCTTAAAGAGAACGGACAAAAGATTTCTCAAAACAGCAAAACTGCATATATTTTACATTGAAAAAGAAAAGAAATAATTTGTTCCATGTTAATTTCAACAATCACGGATTTCAAAAAAATATATTTTGATGATATGAGAATTATTTTTTTTAACAAAAATTTTTGATTTTCAAACCAAGTACAATAATATCAACAATTTTATTTATTGTATCATTTGAGATTGAGTTTATTTTTGTAATTCTGAGATTCGTCTTGTCAAAGAGAGAAAAAGGAAAAAAATGTTTTGCGCGTCTAATATATTACTAGCTGATAAATTTTTTAAATCGAAGCACCGACAATTAAAGTAAATGTAATAACAAATGATTTTACCAATTCGATGATTTTGCAAAAAAACGGCGCTTCCTTAAGATATCCCTTCAATCTCGTGACAAAGCCTGCAAAGCGTGGTGCAGCGCTGTTCTCCTCAGCCATTTTCAACTCACTCTTCGTGACTCACTTTGTTAACTTAGATGTGCAAGTTTATAATCACGGCGAGAAAAATATCATCGAGACATTCGAAATGTGACGACGTCTACTTCCAATTACGTTGAGAAATGCTCCACCTAACTATTGACCTGCCAGTGGCTAGTGTGACACTGCGTAACGTTAAACTAAGACCGACTAAGACCCCACTTCCTCGCTAAATGCATTTAATGCGTTATGACAATAGTTCTTGGTACTCAACCTTGGCGGAGGGTTTGAGACGATCTGTGCTCCACATCTCTGAAGATGGGCCTTACCATCATAAATATAAAACTCACGAATAAAACCTCACGATCTTTCGGTCTTTAATTTTCAGTTTCTTTCGAATCCGAGAGTAATAACGGCTTTAATATCACGTAAAATTTTATTAATTTATTAATTTAACAAATAAATAATAATTTCATGTTGGCATTTTTATTTGTGCTGGTTAAGTGTCATTCAACAATTGTTTTATTAGAATCCATTCCAACGATTCAGAACAAGAATGTGCAATTGTCGTAAAATTTTACGATATGGCATTAGCGATGCGAAGGAGAGCGATAAAGCTAGAGAAGTATCCTAATCCGACCGAGAATTACGATCTTCGTGAGAGTGTCTACCGTTGGAAATTCGGCGGAGGAGCGAACTTTGTCGTGAACATTCTGCCGAATTTCACGGCATGGTGAAAGATAAAGGGTAGCATTGGCCAAAATGGCGAATGGAGAAATACACCGAATAATTTTGCATCTCATTATATCATGCTCGGAATTGTAGTGTATAAATTTGACCAGAAACTGGGAGAGAAGAAGAAAACTTTATTTCTTTTCTATTGAAACTTGATTTAAACTATTTTAAATTATTTTTAGAATTTCAAAATTAAAATTTTTGGTAGTAAATATCCTTTAATAAATCCATTATTAATTGTTTCCAGTCGAAATTAAATTAATTTTTTTATTCTATGTTTACTTATTTTCTAAAATATAGTATATGCGAATACATGATTTTCGCGAGGAGAAAGATTTTCTTGCTGCAACTTGAAAAGATTGGAAGAAAAGAACAACAAATCTTTTTTCCTTAACAACGAAAGAGATTTTAAATTATCTCCAAGATTTTAATTTAATTAACTTTATACGAGTCCCGTGTAAACCAATTGATTCTAGTAGCAAAGAGTTAATTCTGCAATAAAACTGCATAAAAAGTGCATTTCTGCGATTTGTAAAAGCATATTATCCGTGTCTCTTTCAAATGGGAACCACGCACGAAAATATAACTGACATGTACTTGTGCTGTCCACCTACGTTCATCTCATTGTCACGCTCGACTGCTTGCTTAATTTATCATAACTACCTTCCGTACGTTCTCTCTCTCTCTCTCTCTCTCTCTCTCTCTCTCTTCTTCCCTTACTCTCTGTCTTTCTTCTGCCGTCGCCTCGCCCTCTTATTCTTTCTTAGACAATTTTTTTTCTTTCTCACAGTTAATGAATTCTCTACTTACTTCCATCACTCGTCATCCTTCTCTCTTTCGTCGGATTCATGTTCAACGTGTCTCGAGTTTAGATCAGTGCTGTCAAGAAATGTCATTTCACACATAAAAACCTATAATTTGAGCGAATGATTATGGAATCTTTTTTTTTCTTTTTTGCACGGAATATAGTAAAAATAATTTAAGATAAAAAAAAAACTTTAATTTGCTTGATAATTAATTTAATTTACACTTTTGTACAATTGTCACAAAAAATCTTTGTAAACTCTCTTTATACTTATTTTATTTATCGCTTCAATTTTGCTATGTGTTTCTTACAAAGCCATTTATACGTATAAATTGAACTTGTCGCCGCAATGTGTTACCTCCCCTTCATAAACTGCTTTAATTAAAAGTTCATGGGAGCTTTATTGTCGTGCAATCGCATATCCGCGTTTTAATAACGTCGTGATTACGTTGGCGAATTTGACAATTGTTTAATGCTCGTTAAACGAGCGCGAATTGCATTGTAGGGCGGCTTTACGGCAAGGCCGATCTCTGAAAAGCGGGTGAAATCTCTCCGCCCGCTAATTAGAGCTTTCACTCCGCTTACGGCCGGCCAATCTATATATTTCAGCGGCACAATCGATGAGCGGTCGCGTACGCAATTTTCTCTGTCAAATCTCTTGTTCCTCGATCAAGTCGACAAGCCATACGTGATGCGAAATTTTATAGAGCGCAATCGCAGCTTTGAATGCAATCGGGGTAAAAAGCGTCGTGAATGCCATCGGGGTGGTCGGTGAAAATATATATTCCCGCGATGTGGTGGAGAGCCGCATTGCGTCCGCAATACGCCCCGTATTTATCTCCCATAAGAGAATAAGAGTCCTCCATCGCAGCGTATTTAAAAGAGATTCCGTGCTCTCAAGTACTTCAAGATGCTAGTTTCACTCACGTGAAAAGTACTTATGCCGAGGAAATTCGAGTGTTTTATTATGTATCTTCAATAGCGAAAAGAGAGAGAAAGAAAGAGGGAGGGAGGAGGTCAAGAGCGAAACACAGATACATATATATTCTTATTATCAATCTAATCTTAATCTGCATTAAGTCTAAAGGGAAGGAACGATCTCTTCAGAATAAAAGATGAATAATTTTAACTTTAACATTTTACAAGATTGTAAATGCAGTGAAAATAAACTTAATTCATTCGGGTCTCTCGCGAATAAAATTTATTTTCTTCAACGAAGAGCAACAATGTAATGCAAAAAATACAATTTATATCTTTCATAAGGCCCAGTGAAAAACCAATCGCGCTGGTTCATCATTGCTTGCATAGCGACTACCGCGTTCGCGTGGACGTAAAGAAAACGATAAAGACGTTAGAAAAGAATCCGCGGCAATTAACTCGTACAACATCCGAAAGATGAATATCATTCTTGTCATTTCACTAATTATCCACGTCGGCTAGGATTTCTAAGAAGAACCGGTTTCGTCCAATGACGACGTTCCGACGATGTTCGTCTCGAACTGCTCATTTTTCTGCCTTGTATGGCCAATTTAATCAGCATCCAACACTGGATCGGCTTTCAACACTGTCATCCACCTTATCTTCATTTTTATCCGATCGAACGCGACCGAATGGATTCCGTCTAGATCATTGTCATTGCGATCGCGTTAACACAACGTGTTTCAATTGTGGATATGATTTCTAGAATTGACTGTCGATGGAATTTGTAGTATCGATAAAATTGGACCGTATCCTTATTTTATATATCGATATTAGCAATTTGCACTTTCGCATTATAGTGTGTTGCCGTATGCTATTATTACTCTTTAATAGGCTAATCTTAATAGAGTAAAATGTTTACTTTTACTTTCGCGCGTGCGTATGCACACGCGTCATTGCGGTAGAGATAATGGTCGCGATAATCAATTCATATTTCGACGTCAGAGATTCGTCAGAGAGAGCGTCATAATGTATAATTTCCTTTGAAGAGAAACTAATATTTCAAAAGTTTACAATCGTCCCACTTATCGTGCTTATTAATAATTTGTTATCGTATAATTGATAGTCTATGTAATAATAAAAGTTTATATTATATACAACACATTAAAACCTATATTTATTTCGAAGAAGCAAAATAACGTTTTATATATTTTATCGATTTCTAATAGATTTTATTTAAAGTGATACTATTTTAGAATTTTTATGAAATTTTACAAAGGATTTTGCAATTGTGATAATAAATTAATATATTTATATAAAATTAGTGTGTATTTTTTTTTATAATAACAAGCTAAATTAATTAATTTAGATAAATTCATTTAGAATTAAAAACTTTTGTATTTCTTTGCTTTCATCGCGTTTGCTCTTTAGACGTTTAATTATAAAATTAATATTTCGCTGTACTACATTTGATAGAGAGAGATTCGGCATTTTTCACTTAAAATATACACGGTACAAACTTACAAAAAGATTAAAATTATTGTGAAGTAATTAAAAATGGTATAGTAAATAATTTATGATTTGTTATTATATAATGACTAAATTAAAAATAGTAAGAAAAATAAGGAAAGGAACTTTGGTGGAACTTTGAGGAAAGAAATTTCTTCATTTTCCTCTTTTTTTCGTCATGTAGAAAAGTCTATATTCTTACGCTATTCTCTGCCTTTTTCTCCCATTTATGTTCTCCTTCTCTCACTTTAGTTATCGATCGATCAGTGTACCGCAGATGCAGCGTACGTGAATGCAGACATAAACGCGTATCTCGTTTCGATAAAGCGGTGGCTTAAAGTCTTAATCACGTGCGTTTCTCGATTGTGACTCGATCTTACGAACGGCCACTTTCTACGGGTATGTTTACGATGTCCGAATAAATCCGGGGGGTAACACACCTTAATCTTATTGGATTTCGTGGTATGCGTTGGTTTCCTGATTTCATTACCCAATGTCGACACAAGTTTTCACTCTGTTTCGACCTCGCTGACCTCGCCGCAGGAACGTGTAACATACCGACGTCCATGGGATTAAATCGCGCGATTAACGTTATAAACTGGATCGTTTAATAAACTGACGCGACGTGACATTTGTGAAGATTATCGGAAACCAAAACAAATATACGATATTTAATCTGTTGTTAAATGCAACAAACATTTTGTAATTCAAGTCTAACTGAGTTTCTCTCTCATCGAGTTGCTGCGAGTTATTTTCCGCGAGACTAATTAACATACTAATTACATCTTTTAAACACAACGCAATTTAATATTCGCGTTCTCAACATTGTTAGAAATTTACTTTCCCGTTTTTCATATTTCATCTCGTTAGCAATATTAACAGGTCACTTGATCATTACGTATGAATTTCCAGCGCGATTGAAATATCTATTTTCCGGGGTTAACAGCCGGTAAAAACTTATTCCTTTCCATCTGACTACGGGCGATACTCAGAATTGTTTTCGAATGTGCAACATTCTCGGCAATATCATCGCGCAAATTCCTGCTACCACTCGGCGAATCCCGGCAAAATTCTGACTTTCGCGTCGATGGCCCGACAGCAAAACCGCGGCAACCGCGGAGGGTGCATCCAGTTTCTGGGGTGCACGGGGATGAAGTTGCGTCGCATCGAAACCTTCCACCACGGAGACGGCGATGTCTCCCGACTGTGTAATCGACCGATGTACGTACATATGTCATCGCGTCAAAGAAGCAAATCATGAATACGGGATTCGGAAAAGCGTCAGATATCATTCTGAGAA